CCCTGCAGTTCCCCACCCCCACCTTGGCCACCTCCAGTTCAATCACAGCTTCTCAGCCCTTGTGACACCCACTCCAGACCCAGGTCGGGCTCCAGCTCTGCCCGGCCCTGGCCCCGGCTCTGCCAGCCCAGACTGCAAGCCGCGCTCAGCTGTGAACCCTTGGCTCAACCCCTCTCCAAGGTGCCTGCCCAGCCACATTTCATCAACAAGTGCCCCACCCCACCTCTGCATTCACTATCATTGCCCCCTGCACAAAGCTGACTCAGTGACCCCAGCCCTAACACAACCCTGCCAGAGCCCCAGGCCCACTGGGTATCCCTCTGTGCTCACCTACAAGCCACCCCAGCAAGCTACAGCCCCGTCTCACCCCCACCCCCCGGCCTCAGAGGCACAGCTTGCCACAGGCGGCAGACAAGGTCCTGATGGCCGAGGCCAGGGGTCAAGAAAATGACACAGCGCTGGGCAGGGAGAAGGAGGCTTGTCAGAGGAGAGGAAGGCCACAGGTGGCTGCTATGCTAAGTGCCAGAACCAGAAGTAGCCTCAGGGCCCAGTCTGGTGGACCAAGCTGTAAGGCGCCCCAGTGCAGTGTGGAGGTGGGAGGCTCAGAGATTAAACTGTAAGTAAAGAAATGAGAGCCAAGCAGGGCCCTGTACCCGTCGGGGTCACCGAGAGCCAGGGATTGCAGCACCTGAGCTGGAATTGCCATGTCAGAGGGCAGCAGCCGAAGGCAGCAGCCAGAGCCAGGGCTGCATGGGGGCGGAGGATCCCAGCTGTATCTGAAATCATTTCCCCCACAAACCCTCATGGTTTCTGTGCCTGCTGCCGCCACCAGGGAAAAGCGAGGCCCTTGCCCGCTGCTCACTTCCCCGTGGCATACTCCAGGCCCCCTACCAGGACCACCCCCAGTGGCTCCCAGTCCTTCGAGAAGCCCAGAGGCAGAGAACCTGTGGGGATTGCATCCTCCCTCCCCTCCTCCCCTCCTTCCTCACAGACTTTAATTAAGGGTTTCCTTGCAAAAGATCTCGCTCTACTTAACGAAATCCTTGGCCCCCTTTTACATTGTCTCTTACACCGTTTTGCGCTACGGCGCCAGCAAAAAGTTAATTATAACTTCAGAACACTCCACTGCAGGCCCTCGGCTTCCTCTCTGCCGGATTCTGCCAGGGGAGGTGCCGCAGAGGTAACTGGTTCACCTGCGGCTTCCTGCACCATGACACACGTTCTGCTACACCCGCCTGGCACCTCCGGGCCGGCTGAGGACTGGGTTCATGGAACCCCGGCAGGTTGGCCAGCCTGGGTACCCACAGGCCTCGGCAGGTGCAGAAAAGGGGAGTGTAGCAGACAGCAGGCAGGATGACAGAGCCACGGGGGCAGTCAATACCAGCCTTGGGGGTTACAAAGCAGGCACAGGAGCTTGGCAGGGAGAGTCCCAAACACCACCACGCAGGCTGGCGTCAAGGCCTCACAGTCAGAGGCTGCCCTGTAGCCAGCAGCATCCTGGGCAGTGGGTTGCTAGTGGGAGCCCAGCCTCTCCCCTGGCCCCTCGTGTCCTCCTCCAGGAATGCCCCCACAGCCACTGGCACATCTGGCCTCTCTGACAGCAGCCAGATCACCTGCTCCACTCAGCTCTGGCCTGCAGCTCAGGACTCCTCCTGTACCCCCCCGAAGGTCCCTGGCGGCCATAGCGAGGGCTCACAGCAGCCTGCCTCACAGCCTTCCCCTCCGCAAGTCCCCAGGCCCTGCCCTGCACCACTGAGGTGGGCAACGCCAATGCCTGGAGGAAGAACTGTGGGTGCCCATGGGGAAAAGGCATCATAGGGCTGGACAGGATGCTGCTTGGGACAGAATTCCCTATGACGTGGATGACAAGTGTGGCCACCAGTGTGGCAGGGACAGTATGGCGGGGACCGAGCAACCTTGGTAACCAATCAGCCGGCTGTCGCCAGTGGCACACCCAGCCAACCCTTGCCAATGGCACGTCCAGCCTGCTCTCACCAGGAAGGCAGACCCAAGTGGGCCCAAGTGAGCAAAACAGCGGTAGTGCACACAGCCCTTGGGGGGTGGGCAGCAAACGGCATGGGGCCGAGCCCCCAGTCACCTGCCCATTCCTGTGGAATTGCCATGCCCTTATACATGTGTTCCATCTCCTCCTCCCTGTCTAGAATGGTCTTAAAGGATTTTCCACGAGATGAATAACCTGGAAGCAGATGCTGCCAATTTCCAATCTGCCAATTGAGGGGAGAAGGCTAGGCCCAGGGAGCTCTGGGTGGATGGGGCCCCTCAGGCTGGGGAGAGGCTCCCAGGCACCCTCGGCTCAGAGCTGGATGGCACTGGGGTGGCCCTGAGGTCAGTGCTGCTCCGAGTCCACTCCTGCAGGCCACACCTACTGCAGACACCCCTGAGCCCAACTTCCCTTTAAAAATGCTACCGTGGTGTTTACCAGGACATAAACTTGCCCTTTAAAAACCAGGCTCTCGGGCCCAGCACGGTGGCGCAAGTGGTTAAGGTCCTCGCCTTGCACGCCCAGGATCCCATATGGGCGCCGGTTCTATCCCGGCAGCCCCGCTTCCCTTCCAGCTCCCTGCCTGTGGCCTGGGAAAGCAGTCAAGGACAGCCCAAACCTTTGGGACCCTGCACCCGTGTGGGAGACCCGGAAGAGGCTCCTGGCTTTGGATCGGCATAGTATTGGCCCGTTGCGCTCACTTGGGGAGTGAATCATCGGACAGAAGATCTTCCTCTCTGTCTCTCCTCTCTGTATATCCGCCTTTCCAATAAAACATAATAAAAAAATAAATCTTCAAAAAAAAAAAAAAAAAACCAGGCTCTCTCTGGCTGTATGCCTAATTCATTTGTTTTAAAAAAAAAAAACATATGTGGTGGGCATCCTGCCTCATGGTTCCAAAGGCTGCGATCCATATGCAAGGGCTGGGGTTCCATCCCCGGCTCCAGCTCCAGCAATAGTCCAGGCTCTGGGCTTCAGCCTGGCCCCGGCCCCAGGCATCAGAGGCAGCTGGAGGGTGAACCAGCAGAGGGTAGATGTCTGTCTGCCTCTTAGCTAAAATTCTTTAAAAGTCAGAGAGAGCCATACACTAGAAAGTAAGCGTCCATGATCCAGATGACAGCTCTGGAGCAAGGCGGATCACGTGTGCCTGCTGCCCTCTGACGAGCTTTCTAAGAACTCCCTGAGACCCCGTCCCGGAGCCTCCTTCCTGGTCCACGAGGCCGCGGGCACTGCTCCGCCCCATCCAACACCTGGGCTCCTCGCTCCCAATCTGGGCTTTGCAGTCGCTTCAGGACAAACCGCCTGCTCCTTCTCAGCCTCAGCCCTACCCAAGGACACCTCCTCAAGGAGGCCCTCCGAGTGGCCTCTGCCACTCCACCTGGTAGGCCCCTGTGAACGCCTCCTGCTCCTCCAGTGTCCACATGGCCTCATGTGTACCTGCGCACCCCCACTCTCACTTTGGGCTTGCTTCCTGTTGTGCTGCGAGTAGACTGCAGGTGGTCATCCCTCAGCATGTTGCTTTCCAGCAGACTCAACCTCAAGGCCTTGGGTCCCCTCCTGCGGGAGCAGCCATCACCCTGTCCCCTCCTGCGGGAACAGCCATCACCCTCTCCCCTCCTGCAAGATCAGCCATCACCCCGTCCCCTCCTGGAGGACCAGCCATCACCCCGTCCCCTCCTGTGGGACCAGCCATCACCCCGTCCCCTCCTGCGGGAACAGCCATCACCCCGTCCTCTCCTGTGGGACCAGTCATCACCCCGTCCCCTCCTGCAGGAACAGCCATCACCCCGTCCCCTCCCTGGAAGCCCCGATCTGCCTCATGGGAGCAGTGATGATGATTGACACAGCACTCTACAAAACTCTCCCAGAACAACTGCTGGGGCAGGCAGGGCCTGTGGGAGCTCCTGCACAGTCCCTCGAATGCCCAGCTCCCCACTGATTTGCAGGAAAGCAGCAGAGGATGGCCCGAGGGCTTCAACCCCTGTACCCACATGGGAGACTCGATGGAGCTCCAGGCACCTGCCACTGGCTTGGCCCAGCCTTGGCTGCTCAGCGGCTACTTGGGGACTGAACCAGTGGGTGATATTTCTCCTGACCCTCTTTCTGTGTCACTTTGCCTTCTGAATACACAAAAAAGTCTTCTTTAAGATTTATGTATTTTTATGGCAAAGTCAGATATACAGAGAGGAGGAGAGACAGAGAGCAAGATCTTCCATCCATACCGTCCACACACAGCATCACGTGGTCAGTCAGTCAGAAACCCGAATTCTCCTCCATCCAATGGGACAGCCCCAAGACTCAATGGACAAGCCACACTGCACCCCCAGAGCTTATCCTGGCGATGCTGCTGCCTGCCTCGGGAACGCACCACGCAGAGCCCCACAGCTCACATCCGGGGCCCCGCAGAGCAAGGACAGGAAGGCACCTCCTCCTGCCCCAGCCTCCACGTGAGGCAACCAAGCCCAGCACTGCCTCGTCTGAAAACTCCATGTTTGAAGTTCTGAGCCTGTTGAGCTCTGCCCCCACGGGCAACGCCAGCCTCCACCAGCCCTCTGCTTGCACAGGGAGAGCAGCCACACGGGCACCCACGCACCCCAGCATGACAGCTGGCCTGCCCCCTCCTTGGCAAAGCCAGCTCGGCAGCGGCGGTGGGTAGCCAAGCTCGCTCATGCAGCAGAGCACCCACCCTGACTCTGCCATCTGCAGAGTCATTCATTCTATCATGTCACTCATTCATTCATCAGCTGTCATGCGCAGACAGGACAGCCCCCAGCTGAGTCCCTCTGAGAGGGTCTCCCAGGTTCCCCAGCTCCCACAAACAAGAAGTCACAGCTTCAGCAGGCGTAGAGGGGAGTATAAGGAGGTGGGGCGGGGAGGGCCCAGGGAAGGCTCCCCTCTGGAACTGCGGAGAAACGCCCGAGGGGGGATGTGGCAAGGAGAGGGGAAGGACCACTGGGCCAAGGCACACCATTGAGGCCCCGGGTGGGCGGGGACCTACCGAGCCACTCGTTGAACTTCTTCACCTCGCTCGGCAGCCCCAGCTCCGTGAAGTCTCCCGCGTGGATGAGCACGTCTCCGTAGGGCATCTGGATGGGGTCCGTCCTCGAGTGGGTGTCAGACACGCAGACAAAGCGGGTGTAGCCAGGCGGCTTTGGAGCATCATGAGGCACGGGGTCCACCCTGTAGGGAGTGAGGCCCCTGTGGGTCACGGGGTCATAGAGCCAGGGGAAGCAGCCACCATGTGAGCCCCAATTGGATCCAACCACGGGGACAGCTCCCTGCCTCACCAGCCTCTGGGAGGCTCCCCCTCCGTCACACAGGAGCCTTGGTGGGTTGCTGTGAAAGCAGCCCTCCAGGAGATAGTGAGGGAAGGGGCAGGTGCAGGATCCAGGCAGCATGTGCTGGGAACATGGGGTACAGGGCATCCCTGGGGCACAACCACTCACAGCACCCCGGGTATTTGCAACCACTTGCTAAGCACAAGGATTCAGAGACTTCTGGGGGCACTGATGCAGGTCCTGGCGCACAGGAGCCCTTCACAGCCCACAGGGGCCCCCGCCCCACTCCTGCTGGGACCCCCCTGGTGACATTTCCCCAAGACGCCCCTCCAGACAAGCGTGTGCTGGAGGAGTTTTCATGTTTAAATCTAATTATGCGGCAAACCGAGAACCGTGGCGCATTGGTTACATAAATACTTTTAAAGACATCTTTCTAATTATCCCTTTTTTTTTTCAGACAATATACTTCGAAGAAATTTAATTAACACCTTCTGAGAGCCATGGGTTCGGCATGCTAATGTTCAGGAAGTATTAGGGCACAGCGTCCGCCTGCCTCACCCCAGGCCACGAGAAGAGGGGCACCTGAGCCCTTGCTCGGGGTGGCTAAGCCGGTGGAGCCCACCAGGTGGATCCTGGGCGCAGCGGAGGCAAGGACCACCCAGGCAGGTGCCCAGAGCACCTCCCCATCTCAGGGATTCCTCACAACTGAATCCCCACCGGGCCCCAACTCTGAGCTCAGACCTGCCCTGCCCTAGGCCTGCAGAAAGCCTCGGACAGGGTGGAAGCTGGACTCTTCCTCCCAGCCATTCTCCTCTTCCCTGGACCCCCAGACCCCTTCTCCCCGACACTCTCACAGGCAGCGGGCTGGGGCTCCACCCACACACCTTGCTCACTCCCATACAACGGACTGGACCAAGGGCCGCTAGTCGAGCCCGGGCTATTGGCTGGCACAGGCCCCAGAGAGCCAATCACATTCATTCATTAACTCCCTCCCCCCCTACACACACACACACACACACACACTTGTTTTGAAGATGGCACCAGGTAGCAAAGACCCAGGCAGAGACAGAAGGAGGGACGGAGGGACGGGGCCAGCAGACCAGCCCTGGAGCCCAAAGGCCCCAGCCTCTCTACTGAGCTGGCCACAGGTGCCCCTGCAGCCGCCACCCACCAGCTCCCAACAGCACACCTGGTGAGGGTGTTGGGCCAACTGGGCCAACCTGCTGCTGGAGCCAGGGCTCTTGAATTAAGTGTTCTCTGGTTACCTGCAGTCTGAGGCTTTGGAGCCTGCAGAAGATGCAAACCCAGCAATCCCGGAGGAAGAATCAACTCGCCTCTCCAGGCAGGGCCCTCTGGCTGCGTGGATTCTGACAAACGCTCAACCTTGAAATCCCACGGGGCGGCCATGAGGCCTCCCGGGAGCAGGAGCTCGGCATGTGTGAGGTTCCTCCAGGCACCTGCTCACGACACCCATGCAGGCTAGGGACCCGCCCTTTTGTACAGGCGGGCACACCAAGATGCAGAGATGACCCAACTGCTGTGGAGGAGTGTGGCTCAAGTTTGTAGCCAGGCTTAGGTTCTGGAATCCACACCGGCTGGCCTCTTGGCAGGCCCCACTTGGTGCCCATCCAAGGGCTGTACCCCATGCTGGGCATCTGCCTGGTGTGAGGGGCTCACCTGGGGTGGCAACACCCACTGGGGTATGGCTCCCGGAAACCCCACCTGCACTTGGAAGCCAGAAAACCAGTACCAGGAGGCCTGATCTGGAGGCTTCCAACCCCTCAGGCAGCAACAACTGAAGCCACACCCACACCTCCGGGGCCAGCCACACAGGCACCATTGAACCATCTCAAAGATACTTGAAGCCATGCTTCTAACATCCGTGGCGACCACACCACAGCTCTGTGCCCCAAATCACTCAAGTGGGGAGCCCCATGTTGGGACACAGTCAGTAAAGCCACCTGCAGCACCAGCACTCCAGGGTTCAAGTCCTGGCTGCTTCCAGTTCAGCTCCCAGCTGATGGCCCGGGAACCGCAAAGGAGGCCTAGGTGTCTGGGTCCCTATTTCCCACTTTCTGTATGTGGGAAAACCTGGGGAGGTCCTTGGTTCCTGGTTTCACCTTGACCAGCACTGGACATTGTGCTCATCTGGGGAGTGAGCCAGCAATTGAAATATGTCTAGCTGTATGTAACTCTTTCAAATAAGTAAAAGGCGGCTAAAGTCCTCGCCTTGCACACCCGGGGTTCCCAGATGGATGCTGGTTCTAATCCCAGCACCCCACTTCCCATCCAGCTCCCTGCTTGTGGCCTGGGAGAGCAGCCAAGGACGGTCCAAAGCCTTGGGACCCTGCACCCGCATGGGAGACCTGAAGAGCCTCCTGGCTTCGGATCGACTCAGCTCCAGCCATTGTGTCCACTTGGGGAGTGAACCAGCAGACAGAAAATCTTCCTCTCTGTCTTTCTGTCTCTGTCTCTCTCTCTCTCTCTCTCTCTCTCTATATATATATATGTATATGTATATATATATATGACTTTGCAATAAAAATAAATACATCTTTAAAAAGTAAAATAAAATTAGTCCCCTGGCTCAAGGACCTGGCTGAAGAGTGAACTTGAACCCAAGTCTTCATAAACTTGGGCACGTGACCTCAGTATCTTAGGTTGAGCAGTGTGGCTGTTTCCCAGAGAGTCTGCAAGGACCAGAGATGGGGCACAGACACCAAAACTCCCTGTTTCCTGGAGGAAGATCTCATCCACCTGAAGCCTCCACCTGCTAAGGTGGCTTGGCCTGAACCCCATCAGCAGCCCTCCCAGGCCAGCCTATCACTGGGTCCCCTGACAGGCAGCGCGGTGGCAGGAATGGTGCAGGATTGAGGACATAGCCCCCAGGTCCCAGACCCTGACTGGCATCTGGGCTGGCACCTGGGCTGGGTGACCTCCCTCTCCTCCTGTTCCTTGACCCTCCCAGGCTCCAGGTCAGCTGTGCAGTGAGGGATGGGGCAGGGTAGTCCCTCTTTGCGGATGTGACAGGAACCTAACCAATCTTCATAGCTCCAAGACCCTACAGTGTCCCCCCATCTCTGCTCACTTCTCTCTACCCTTCTGCCCCTTCACCTCCATCCTGACAAGCCTCAACTTCCTGCAAGTATACACAGGCATCGCAGGCAAACCGCGCGACCCAGTTCACAATGACTCGGGTACCTGGGAGTCACCTCTTCCATTCGCTGGGAGATGAGGGCCAGGCAGGGAGAGCATCCTCCCTGTAGACTCCCTACTGCACTCCTGCACCCCTGACCCTGCCGCTCCTTTTGCTGGTCCCCTCATTTAGCTCGAGGCATTGCTGGTTCCCTGAATGTAAGACGACACCCCCAGGAAGCCCTCCCTGATCTTCTGCAACCTTCCTGACCTCTGTCCTTACCACATCCTTGACCCCGGTCTTCCCTTCTTCCCATTCGCTGGGCTAGGCCCCAGAGACAAAGCCCTGTGCTGGTGAAGGGCAGGGACTCCCAGGGCACCACTGAGGCGGCAAGCCACAAGCGCGATAGTGCGGAGCGGCCTGAGAAAGGCAAGGGGCCGACTGGGTACAGAGTCAGCTACCCAGCTGGATGAGAGAGCTGCTAGGCAGACACCTTCCACCCCCACCCCCGGCACTGCCGTAGGCCCCATGCGCTAGCTGAGTGCCCACAGGCCAGCAGGCAGGTGGACAGGCGGCCCTGCTCGCACCAGCCTTGGCCGCGGCCTGGCACAAGTTCACAACACAGACTGCCCACTGCCCAGCCGGCCTGTAGTACACCAGCCCAGGCCCGAAGCAGCTGGTCGACAGCCTGGACTCAAAGCACGTGCTGGTCGTGTACACCTGACGGGGTCCTGGGACCCGCCCGGGGCCTTGCCCTTCCTCTGGTAAGGCTGAAGGGGGCACCGGGAGAGCGAGGAGGTGGGGTCCTCCCACAGCGCAGGTCCAGCACTCTGCTCTCCTCCACCCTGTACCTGGGGGCCAGAGCAGAGCCAGGGAGGAGCAGGAGTAGGGGCCTGCTCTTGGCGCTGCTCCAAGAGGGTGCCCAGCCCATGTATGTGCCCCTCCCAGTTGCTGCCAGTACAGCCCCAAGGGGCACGTGATCTCCGAAGGCTCTGGGAAAGCATGCTTCCCCACTGGCTGGCACACAGAGCCTGGCACGCCCAGAGAGAAGGCGAGACCATCAGACCCAGACTGTGGTCCCAGCCAGGCAAGGACAGAGGGGCCTGCAGTATCTCCTTTCCTCTCTCTGGGACTCTCCCTCCACCCTCCAACCCTGAGTTAAGGCCATCATGCTGGGGTCACCACCCCAAACAGCCCAGGGTCAGGGGGAGGGGCAACTGAACCCCACCCCACAAAGTTACAACATGGCAGAGCAGACCCAGGGCCTCCACATCTGGCCTTCCCCTAGCCAGTCAGCACCCAGTCCTCGGGTTGCCCACCCGGCTGTCCCGGCCCCCACCCCAGCTGTCCCAGCAACCGCCCCCCGGCTGTCCCGCCCCCACTTACATCTGCACGTGCGGCGGCTGGAAGCGGCCCTGGTTGATGTTGTAGAAGGTGAAGGCCTGGGTGGGGTTGGAGCTGTACTCGTCCACCTCGACCAGGAGCCGGCTGTGCTGGTGTCTCCGGGCGCTCATCACGTGCGACTGCGAGAAGGCCATGCCCAGGCCGCAGGGCAGGAGGGCCAGGGCCTCGGCCTTCAGGACGCCGGCATCCCACCTAGGGTGCCACATGGGCCTGGGCGGGCTTCCCGGGCATCGCCCACCGCCGCCTTCTCCACCACTGCTGCCGCCCGGCCCCCCGCCAGACCTGCAAACAGCCTGGGGAGACGGAGCAGAACTGTGCGACAGTTAATCTGTTTGGGATTTGCTTTATTTAATGTCAGATGAAGATTTAGAAAGAGGGAGAGGGCTGGGAGGGGTGGGGGCGGGGGGGGCGGAACGGGGGGGGGGGTGGGGAAGGAAAAGAAAAAAAAACATAGTCGTACAGCTCAAAAACTCATTACAAATCTTTCCAACTCAGCAGTTTGATGAATATACTTCGATGAAAGAAAAGGGAAGGGAGAGAGGGGGCAGGGAGCAGAAATAAATAAATAAATAAGAACCCATCCACCCCAGTGCAGTTGGTCGGTGGCAGTGGTGGCACGCAGCAACCAGCATGCCAAAAGATTTCAAACTTTCTTTTTCCTTTTTTTTTTTTTCCCTTCAACGAGATCCTCCTGCCCTATGGCGGAGGGGGGTGGGGGGAGGGGGGTTGGCAGACAATGATGGGTGTTGTGTAAACAGGCTGAGTTAGGCTTCTCAGCAATGGAGAGGAGACCCAGTCCCCTCTCCATGCCCACCCTTCCCCGGGCACACCCACCGGGCCCCAGGCCCACACTCCAGCAAGCCCAAGCAGGTGCCGGTGAAAATTCATTCCTCAGCATCAGATTTTGCCTAAAGAGAAGGGACTTCCCCATGCGCCTTGCCGGCCTCCTCTACCACCCAGAGCTTCACAGAGAAGCAGCAAAGCCCCGTGCAAGAGGCCTCCCCACCCCTAAGCGGGACCCTGAGCTTCGCCTTCCCCTCGGCCCGGCTCTGGGAACGGAGTGCTCCCTGCTTGGCTGCCAGCTAAGTCCCACAGCACCTTGCAAATGCAGGTGGTGGGTCAGACCCCACACTGCCCCTCACAAGGCCACCAGGCCCACGGGGTCCCCGGTTCCTTCCCATAGAAATCGCAGCTTAAACGGCATGATTCCACACAATTTTGCGTGTGTGTGTTTTCAGTTTGTGGCCCTCCAGAGCCCCCCGATGATTCCATTTGCATTGTATTTAACCAAGGAGAAAATAATGTCATTTGAACTAGCCCTGGACAGTCACATCCCAATCATGTTAAGGGAAGAAAAAAAAAATCCCCTCTGCTTTGCGCATGGAAGAAGAATTGACACAGTCAGAAAACAAATTAGATTAGGAAAATGACAAAAAATTAGAGACTGGAGAACATTTTAATTATGTGCAAAGGAGAAATGGATTATTAATTTTTTCAAGAATCTCCAGCATCCCCCACAGAAGCTAAAATCAGAGAGGTGCCCTCCTCCCAAAATCATGTCTGAAGCCCCAGCATGAGGGCCTCGCCCTGGTCCTTTTACACACAGGAGGCCTCTGGGGCAGGGGAATCCCCGGGTCGGCCATGCAGCCAGCCTGCTCCGCACGTCCACGTGGCTGCTCCTGGAAGCCCCCGAGGGAGGCTCCAACATGCCAGATGCCCACAGCTCTACCAGCCAGGGAGGCAGCACCGTGTGGGCCCAGGTCATCTCCCAAGCTCCCACTTGCAGAAACGGCTTTGACCAGATCAGTGCCACCCACCAAGGCTTGTGTTGGCCTTCACTGAGAAGCCCATAGGATGCCAGGAGGCCTCTGCTGGGGGAATTCCCATCTCTCCCATGCAACAAATGCCAAGGTGCCTCAGACACGGAGACTTTCAGCAAGGCACAGTGAGGACAGAGCTGAGCCCTGCCCAGCGCCTGAGTCCCGCCTCCTCCACCCAGAGCCCCCTGCCTCCTCCTGGCTGGCTGGTGCCAACTCCCTTCTCTGCCAAGCTGCAGCCTCCAGGGCCCTCAGGCCACGATTCCGTATCCCTTGCTCAGTCTGCCAACCCAGGACCCTTGAGCAAGTGGCTTCACCTCCCGGAGGCCCTGTTTTCTGGTTGACACGTGTCAGAGAGTGGAGAAGGTGTAGCGAGGTGACAGGTGCAGACACTGTTTTCGGAGCCCAGCACCCATAGCTGCTGGCTCTGAACAGCCTCGCATTACTATCCACTCAAGATGTGTCCCTGATACTTCTCAAACACTGAATTGGTGAGCCATGGATGGATGAAGGGAGACAAGGAAGATGGAGAGAGAGCGAGGATGGATGATAGAGGATGGAGGGAGGGATGCAGGGACAGCTAAACCAAGGATGTCTCTTTCTGGCCGGCTTGAACTAGTGGACGGTGGGTACCAAGAGAACTCAGCTGTGGACCGAAAAGTCGCCACCCTCTGCCCTTCCTTACTCAGGAGGCAGCCAGGTTGGGCACAGCCCTTGTGAAAGGTGAGTCCCAGGAGCCTGTGCCCACCCCAGCCCAGAAAGCACCGAAGGACTCAGGAGGCAGAGGCAAGGCAGAGGCAAGGCAAGCAACACAGTGTCCCGGAGGCGTTCGGCAGCGCAATGCCGCATTTCACATAAAGGGGGATCCAACGGGGCCTGCTCGGAGAAACCAGGCACACTGGGAACGCAGAGGCTTCTTTTAATACCCATTTAATATTTATAGAGCCGCAGCAACACGGCAGCCACCATGCGGAAACGCGGCAGCTTCAGCAGTACAGACATCTGCTGGGGGGTGAGGTGGGGGGCGGAGAGCTTCCCAAACAGACGGCTTTCCCAGGAAGCACGGGTGCCCTCTTCCCATACTGCCCACAGGCCAGCGCACCGGGACCTGTGGCCAACTGGCCAGCCAGTCAGCCAGACGCCTGGGCTTCCAGCCTGGCTCTCTGTGCCATCCTGGTGGGGAGCTGCAGGTGCATGTCTGTGAGTGAAGAACAGAGCAGCAGCACGAAGGGGGGCTGGGACGAATGCAATGCAACACTGCTTATTCCACAGAGACCGCCAGGAGGAAGCAACCAAGCCCCGCCCCTCGAGGAATAAGGGACGGGGTGGGAGGATCACAGTAAACAGAAAAGGCCCCCTCTGAGCAGACCCCCCAGCACCACAACATGTTGATGGGAAACTGAAATTACGCTGTGTGCATATGCACCTGCAGGAAGACCTTGCAGGGTGATGTGGCAAGAGGGAGATGGATGGGGCAGAGGAAGCAGCAGGTGCAAAGGCCAGAAGGCGGCACCGACATGGCGCATCTGCTTGCCGTCCCTGCTGCTCGCTCGGGGCTGTGGGCCCGACCGCAGGAGGGAGCAAGTCTGCGATTCAGCCTAGAGGCTGCCCGGCTGTGGACTGCTCGGGCAAGTGGCTTGACCTCTGTCGGCTTTCTCCTTGGCGACTGTTACACACAGGATGGAGAGAACCTCACGCCTGCCCTTCCAGACAGCCCAGCCTGGGGAAGCCCCAGGTCTCCCTGGCCCAGCACCAGCTCAGAAATTGCCGCCAGGGGCCCGGCGCGATGGTGCAGTGGTTAAGGTCCTCGCCTTGCACGCCCGGGATCCCATATGGGCACCGGTTCTAATCCCGGTGGCCCGAGGACGGCCCAAGGCTTTGGGACCCTGCACCCGCATGGGAGATCCAGAAGAGGCTCCTGGCTCTGGATCGGCATAGCACCAGCCGTTGTGGCTCACTTGGGGAGTGAATCATCGGATAGAAGATCTTCCTCTCTGTCTCTCCTCTCTGTATATCCACCTTTCCAATAAAAATAAAATAAATCTTCAAAAAAAAAAAAGAAATTGCCCCCATTTGTTCCTGAAGTATTATTATCATTATCATTATTAAAGGCAGAAAAAAAAAAAAAAACAGAAAACTTCCACCTGCTAGTTCCTTCCTCTGAGGAAGCTGGAATCAGGAGGAAAGTACAACCAGGACTCGAACCCAGGCACCCAGTGTTGGGGGCAGGTGATGCAGTGGGAGCCTTAACGGCTGCACCAGGTGGACCCCACCCTCCCAACGCTAACTGGGATCCGGTGTGATGGCTCAACTCGCTAATCCTCCACCTGCAAGTGCCAGGATCCCACATGGGCCCCGGTTCCTGTCCCGGCTGCTCCACTTCCCGCTCAGCTCCCTGCCTGTGGCCTGAGAAAACAGTAAAGGATAGACCAGACTTGGAACCCAGAAGAAGTTCCTGGTTCTTGGTTTCAGATGGACTCAGTTCTAACCATTGTGGCTTTAAGGGCGTAACATAGCGAATGAAAGATCTTTGTCTCTCCTCTCTGTCAATCTGCCTTCATAATAAAAATAAATAAACCTTAAAAAAAGATTCTCTGTGTCCCTCTTGAAGGTCCTCACCGGATAGTCGCTGCGTGCAGGGAGTCCTGTCAGGCTGTGCTCAGGAGGACCCGGATGTCGCTGTGGGACCCCATGGTGGAGGTGGTGAGGGGGAAGGCCGATGTCTCAGCAAGGAGTATGCTGGGAGGGAACGGCCCCACCTTGTCCTGCCTTCTGCTGTGGCGGCCTCTGTCACCAGGCCACACTGCACCTCCTCGGGCACGTCTACCACCATCGGGGGAGGCCCTGCTCCTGGAGTGGGCTCGAGGGGCAGCCAGGCTGGACCCCCCAGCTCCCCTCTCACTTCCCAGGCCCAGCTGCAGCACGGGGTCAGCAGGGAACCTCCCTGGTACAAGGGGAGCCCTGTGCCCTGCCCCGCTCCTCTCCCCACTCACAGTCGCATCTGTTCGCTCTGTCCAGGGCCTGGGAGACATCTTCCTGGACCTCCCAGGAACCTGCACCTGACCCAAACCACATGCACAGCCAAAGAACAAATGGCCTGTAAATTCACCTAAGGTGAGCAAATGAATGAAGCTGCACTGCTTCTGAGTCTGATAACCAGGGTCTCAGAGACCTGTTAACTTCCCACAAGAAGCATGCAGAGGCAGAAGCCCCGCCACCCGCCACCCGCTACCCGCCCCCCAGGCTGCCCAGGAACAAGGCCCAGCACACAGCAGATGCTTCTCTGCTGAGTGGCAGTAGCTCCCCAAGGAACATTCTAGACCTCGGCAGGTTCTCAAGTGATCAAGCCCTGCTGTGCCCCCACCCTGGGATTCCTGTCTCCTCTTCCCTGGCCCTGTTTGGTGATGGTTTTGCTCCTGGAACACAGCTGCTAAACATGTCTGTTCCTCCGTGGCTAGGTACCCAGGGCACATGTC